ATGAATTTTTTTTTTATAAAAAAAAAAATAAAAAAAAAATGATTAAAAAAAAAAAACTTATGTGTATGTGTGTATATGTGTGTGTGTTGAGAGAGAGAGAGAGAGAGAGAGAGAGAGAGATGCACGTTCATTAAAAGCAGAAGAGGATATTGGATTACATGTGTTTGAGTTCAGACAGTTGTGACCCACCCAATGTGAATGCTGGGAATTGAACTCAGGCCCTCAGGAAGAGCAGCAAGTACTCTTAACCACAGAGCCAACTCTCCAGCCCTGTTCTCTTAGATTAAAAATACATTTTAATATGTTGGAGAAAAGCCCAAGTTAGAGCTTGTTTGCTTTATAAAATGTATTATGTATGTGTACCTGAATGTGTGTGCACCACATGTGTGCAAATGCCCACAGAGGCCAGAAGAGGGTCCCAGATCCCCTGGAATTAGAGTTACAGATAGTTGTGAACCACCTTATGTGGATGCTGAGAACTGAGCCCAGGTCCTCTGCAAGAGCAGCAAGTGCTCTTAACTGCTGAGCCATTTTTCCAGCCCCCAAATTAGAGTTTTTGAGCTTCAGCTTTTTAGCTTGAGTGAAAGCAATAAGAATACTCAGAAAGTAGAGCCAGTGAGATGGTTCAGTGGGTAAGGGTGCTTGCCACCAAACCTGACAACCTGAGTTCAATTTCTGAGACCCACGTGGTGGAAGGAAAGAATCACCTCCCATAAATTGTCCTCTGACCCCCACATGTTCTCTGTGGCATGAGCATGCACACATGCACATACACATCATAAATAAGCAAACAAATAAATAAATGTAACAACAAAAAAGAATAGTCAGAAAGTAAATGATGTGGGAAAAATGACAAGAAGTCACAGAAAAATTGAGGGTGGTGGGGTAAATGAAAGCCCCCCCACCAAGTGTGAGGGTGCTACACACTATATACATGTGCCAACATTTATGGAACTATACACTAAAAGGCCACATTTTGCCAGTGATAAATTATATATTAATTCTTAAAAATGGGAAAAATAAGCAGTATCAAATTCTCCTATTCAGAGTGTTTTCTGCCAAGCAATAAGTCTTGTTTACGTCAGTTTACTCTCCCCATTCCTCTGACATTGTTCACATATTCAAGTTTCTTTTCTTAACCATATCACTTGCTTTTTCTCCCCAACAACTGCTCATTTTGATAATATTCATACAGATGTTTACATGTTACATGTTATGAGATGCATGCTCCTGTTACCATGTTCCCAACATATGTCAGCAAAGGCCTGGTGCGGGGTCACTAAATCCCACGGGCAAAGTAGGAAGCTTAATCAGTGGAGTGGCATGCAGTAAAGCCACAACTACAAAGGAGGTCAGGAAGAATTCAAAGTAATGAATAAGGAAGCACAGTGCACTACAGAAAGAGTAACTAAAAGTGTGATCCTAGCAGCAAGAACATCACCAGGGAGGGAGCCAGTTAGAAATGCAAGTCCTAGCCAGGTGTGGGGGCACAAGCTTTTAATCCAAATACTTGGGAGGCAGAGGCAGGTGGATCTTTATGAGATCAAGGCTAGCATGGTCTGCATAGTGAGTTTCAGGCTGGCTGGGGCTACAGGGAGATCTTGTCTCAAAAAAAGACAAAAGAAATTCAGGTCCATGGGCCCCACCACAGACCTACTGAATCCTGATCTCTGGTGGAGCCAGGAATCTGCACAAGTTCTTAGGTGATGCTAAAAGCTTGGGACACACCATCTCCTGGGAATCTTATTAAAATGTATGTTCTAACACATGGTACTAATGTTCAGGTAGGGTTGAGAACATCAGTTCCACACCAACTTGCTGATTTTCAGTGACTCCCCCCTGACCCAGCCTACCCCAGATCAATTAAATTAATCTGTGAGGTTGGGGCCCAGCCACTCTTATGGTGTAAGAGTTCTCAGGTATTTCTACTGTGTACCTGGAGTTCAGAACCACTGACAGCAAAAACAACAAAACTGCAATGTCTCTACAGCTCTAAACTAGTAGAGAGTAAAATATCTAAAAACTGTATTCTGTATCTCACTGCTTTTTTGGAAGAAGATGTCCTGAATCTAAAACAGTCTTTTGGACAGACTGTGTGTGACTGTGGCTAATAACTGAATACTCCACTGTACGGCTACTAAGATTAATGAGGGTCTTTAGCACTAGACTGTGGATCTTACCTATAGTTACTGCAAAAATATGTAAGGCTCTTTATTGTCTATAGTTAATTACCTTTCCTCCTCTTTTCAGATTTTCCTTTGTCTTTTGTGTTTTTAGTCTTCACATGTGACCAAGGCTCACTTCCTCTATAATTTTTCTGCCCACTTCTTGCTTATTCATTCAACTTACATTTATTTACTAAGAATGTGTTAGGCACTGGTTTAACAATAAGCACCTAACAAAGAAAACTACCTTACATTGTAGTAGGAGGTAAAGGACAATAAGCAGGCAAACCATGTGGTCATAACTACAATAAAGCAAAACAAAGCAGGGCAAAGGGCACAGATGATGGAAGGTGTGTGTGCTACTCCACATGTGAGCTTAGGAGAAGAGTCAAGGCCGTCCCTCTCACAAAGTGATACTTGAGCTTCCATCCAAAGGATGTGAGGGGCAAGGGGCATGGATGTCTGGAGGAAAGGCACACCACACAAAGGGAACCAAAGTGTCGAGCCCTGGGGGCTATGCTTGATGTTCGTACACAAGCAAAGAAACCAGTGTGGCTGGGGGAGGGAAAAGCATGAGGACATGCAATGAAGAGGCTATGTAAAGATCTCAAATCTCATTCTGAGTGGAAGTCGAGGCCATCAGAGAATTCTGACTAGATATGTGGCATGATCATGTATTTTGGAAGATCACTTTGCTTGCTGAGCAGATTGTGGATGTTCTTTCTTAACTGTCATGACATGAATACCTGTAACAAGAAGCTTGTGATGATATGTGTCAGTAGATGTCTTAGTTGATTTCTCTTTGCTATGATAAAATACCCTGACAAAAGCAACGTAAGGGAGAAGGGGTTTATTTTGGCTCACATTTCCAGAGAGACGTAGTCCATCACGGCAGGGAAGGCATGGCAGCAGATGGGGAAGGCATGGTGGCAGGAGCAGGAAGCTGAATGATCATACTACCCATACTCCAAAAGTTGAGTGTGAACAGAAGTGGGGCATTGCTAGAAAGTCTCAAGGCCCACCCCCAGTGACTCACTTCCTCCAGTGATGCTCTACTTTCTAAAGGTTCATACCTTCCCAAGCAGCATCGCCAGCTGGGGACCAAGTGTTCAAACATGTGAGCCTATGGGGGATATTTCATATTCAAACTGCAACAGCAAGCAAATACCCAAGCATGGATATTAACTGTACACTCAACAAAGACCAAAGCATCCACTGGATACCCTACCTGGACCTCAGGTATCTGTGGAATGCAAGACTTAGGTCTTAGTGGTAAGAGGGTTGCCATCTGTGGAAAAGGGTCAACATCCTTCCTTGGTTTCTCTTGGCGGAGATGCCAGAACTTCAGTTCAGCACTAGCATATTTTGTTGAGGAAGAATGAGTAACACAGAATCTTGGTGCCCTGTTTATTGAAAAAGCAAATTTAAGATTTAAGATACTAAGATGAAATCAGACAATAAGCCTCAGGGCCAAAAGCCTACAAAACATTACTTATCGCAACTAATAATCTGTATCTTTTCTGTTGCTTTTTATTTTTCTGCTGTCTCACCTTAAAAAATATTTTTCTATATGTTACTGTGTTACATTCCATTCACTCACAGAAAAGGTAATGTATTAGAAAAGATCAAAATAATACTTAAATTATTATCTGCTTCATAAGGAAAAGAGCTACATAAAACCATTAAAAAATTTTAAAAATAACTTGTAGTTTCTAGAAAAGTGAACATAAAATGTGCTGTGGTAGTTTTAAACAGTTTGGTAGTTAGCTATATAGTTAGCTATAATACTAAATAAAAACTGGTAAATAAAGTTAACACTTAAAAATATACAATATTTTATAATGTCCAAATATGCTACTACAGTAGGCTATAATTCTCATTATATATTCTTCAAGTCTTAATCTTTGAAGGTAGGAATTAATTTTACAACAATTTATATAAATGAAAGATCAACTCTGCTTCCAAAGACTTAGGAAAAAGAATGTTTAACACAGTGTAGAGGCTACACTTAACAGGATGGATATCCTGGTATCTGTCAGTGGGTTAACTCTTTACACAAAGTTAACACTAGCTGCCAAAGCCTATAGCTAATTGTTTCTTAGACCAGGTGATCCCCACCTCCCAACCATACCCCAGCCTGAGTACTAATTCCTGTTCCATATTTCAGGGCCTAAGAGGAAGCAGATTCCCTCTAACACAGGAAGAGGGTAGATATTTCCAATGTGAATGCACATTAGGAGTGAAGAGAATCCAAAGGCCTGAAAATCCTGTAGTGCATATAGCCATCTTCACTACATTTCTGAAATGTTACTTTCAGACTTGTAAGCATCCAAAATTATTTCTTATTTGCATGTTAACCAGTAAATGGGCATATCTACAGGACTCATCAACTCTTGCATGTGGTGACCAGGAAATCTAGATACCTCAATTTGATGATTCATATCATTAAAGTATATCCATTGATTCCATAAATCCCTACTTCCCTGACCATTTTAACTGGTCTTATTCCACATAGCATTAATCTTTGATAAGCCACTTAATGAACTCCTCCAGCACTACAGGGCATTCATGGTGAAATCTAATTAGTACTGTGTTACTTCTGATACTATCACTGTACAAGGTCTCATGTACACTGGTTCACACATCTTCCTTCTCAAGATTTAGTGAGTGAAGATTATTTACTAATAACCCACAAGGATCTGCTGTGTGTGTGCATGTGTACATGCATGTGTGTGGGTGCATGTTCCCAAACTGTAAACAGTTTTAACGTCTTTCAGCAAGTCACTAGACATACAGTACTTGCATACACTAGGATACCACTCAGGAACAAAAGCAAACAAGTTGCTGATGTATAGAACTTGGCTAGACCTCAAGAGAATGATGCTGAATTGAAAATCTAGTGCCAAAAATTGCATATTATACAATTTTAAAAATATTTTCTTCTTATTTTATGTGCACGTGTGTCTTTGTGTGCATGTATGTAAGTGCAACCATGTCGCACAGTGCCCATGGAGGTCAGAAGAAGGTCCCTGGAACTGGAGATACAGATGGTTGTAAGCCACCATGTGGGTGCTGGGAATTGAACCCAAGTTCTCTCCAAGAGCAGCGAGTGCCTTAACTGCTGAGCCATCTCTCCAGCCCCAGCATATTATATAATTGTATTAATGGTTTCCAGGAGTTAGGGAGGGAGGTGAAGCAACTGGTATGGTGCTAAGAAGATAGTACAAGGCATGCCTATGATAGCTATCCTATATCTTGACTTTGGTGACCATACATGAACCTATAAATGATAAAATAACATCAAACTAAATACACATGCATAAAAATGAGTGCATGGGCTGTCTACTGACTTCCGTGGGCATTGCATGACACAAGTGCACTTACATACATGCAGGTATGACACTCATACACATAATAAAAAAATAAATTATATATTTGTTGTTGTTCTTTCTTTTTTGTCTTATATTTTGGTGTTTTTGAGACAGGGTCTTCCTGTATCCCCAGCTGTCCTGGAACTCCCTATGTAGACCAGGCTGACCTTGAATTCACAGAGATCTGCCTGTCTCTGTTTCCCAAGTGCTGGGATTAAAGGCATGTGCCACCATGCCTGGCTTAATAATAAATATTTTAAAAAGGAAAGCTTCTTCTGTCTTGATAAAACTTAATGTTTGATTCAGTATTAAATTGGATAGTATGTACATATATGAACCAACTATGATATAACATTCCTTTAAGCAAAGATTTATTTTATTTGTAACTATGTGTGTGTCTATGTACATATATGTGGGTGCCCATGGAAGCTAAAAGAGGGTGTCTGATTGCCTGGAGCTGGAGTTGTAGGCATTTGAAAGCTGTCCAACATGGGTGCTGGGAACTGAACTTGGATCCTTTGGAAAAGTAATATGAGCTCATGACTGCTGAGTCATCTTTCCAGCCTGAGAATAACTTTTTAATGAAGAAGAACAGAAAACTAGATATAAAAAGTAGAAGTCATATAATAATCTAGAATACTAGCTGAGAGATGTTGCCAAGGAAATGGACAAAGAATAAATCATGATGAGCTCATTTGGTAATTAAAAAAAAACTGGGGCCAGGCGTGGTGGCGCACGCTGTTAATCCCAGCACTTGGGAGGCAGAGGCAGGTGGATTTCTGTGAGTTCAAGGCCAGCCTGGTCTACATAGTGAGTTCCAGGACAGCTGGGGCTACAGGGAGACCCTGTTTCAAAAAAAAACAAAACAAAACAAAAAAAACAACTTTACACTCAAAGCTTTGGGACAAACAGTGGAATTTAAAGAGAAATGATAAAATGAAATCACAGCTAACACTCCCTGTGCTTCAGGCAGCACATGTGCTGCCCACCATGTCCAGTTCTCTGCTCTCTGCACAGTTAGTGACCGTTTTATTACACTAATTTCACCTAGACATTCCTCCTTGGACTCGAACATGACCCCTGGACTCTACCAGAATCTTGTCACTTTGAGTTTCCACAAATTATATATCCATTAGACAAACCTAGCCTAAAGAAGAGTAAAGCAAGGAACTTTAATTCGCATTATTTATCTTACCAATATAGAAGTAAAGGTTTTATAACCTCAGTCTGAATATTTCTCAAATGTTCTTCAGTCCACCAAGATCCATCTAGCAGTTTAAATTTTGATAAGATTTCTGCAGAAAGGTAACAATCTCCACTGCTCAAAAGATAGCATTTTTTCATCTTCTCAAGATGTCTGCAATAAAATGCATGCCCAGATGCACATACACATCAATACAATGTTCAACTACCCAAATGCAAGTCATGACTATCTTTAACCAATATTCATTTGCAGAGCACTTAAAGGATTTTCTGGAGATAGATTTCTGTTATGGGGATGAGCAGGGTGTTCACCTTTCTCATTAGGCTAAATGGTCTTGTAGAGCTGTCCACATTCTAAACTCACAATGTGAGTTTGATACGTACATTACATGGTAAAAGGGACTCCGCAGATGTGAGTGAGGACTCTAAAGAAGTTATCCTGGGTTGTCTAGGCAGTTCCAATAGAATGGCAAGAACCCTTCTAAAGGGGAAGCAGGAAGGACAGATTCATAAAGATGTGAGGTAGATGCTGCTGACTGAAGATGCAGGAGGGGGCATAAACCAAGGAGTGTACACAGCCTTCAGAACTATAAAATGTAAAGAAACAGACTGTCTCTAGAACCTTCTGATTTTTCAGAATTGTTACTTTAGGTCACTAAGTTTGGGTAATTCATTATAGTAACAATGGGAGCCATAGTACTGGCCCTGAAAAACATGATATTTCTTAAAAGAATCAAGGTGCTGGAGAGATGGCTCAGTGGTTAAGAGCACCGGCTGCTCTTACAGAGGAACCAGGTTCAGTTTCTAGCACCCACGTGGCAGCTAACAACTGTATGTAACTCCAGTTCCAGGGGATCTGATCCCCTTTTCTGGCCTCCACAGGCATCGCACAACATGGGTACACTTACATACATGCAGGCAAAGCATTCATACACATAAAATAAAAATAAATCCCCCAAATTAAAATACAGTAATCAAGTCATGCTTCAGAATCATTTGGTGTCTCCTCATAAGCTCTGTGGTCTGAAAACCATTAAAATAACTAGAATAACTAGTCACTAGTTGTAGCCTGAAAATTACTCATTCCTCCAAAAAGTGTAAGCCAGCCACAGGCAAGATGAGAAGCACCCTGGGAAGAGGGGTGGAGCTGCCCAGGAGACAGAGAGTTAGCTGAGGAGAGATAGCTGCAGAGAGTTAGCATAGAGGTGATATTGGAATGGAGAAAAGCTTGTGTAGGGCTGCTGAGGTGAACTGCATCATCCCATGGGGTATGGTCATGTGATGGGACACTTAAGACCTTGGGTGCAGCGCATGAATGCTAATGGATACTGTGGGTGGGCCTTGAATGATGCCCAGGTCCTGAGAAGCTGTTTCTTTGAAAGTCTCTCCCCCACAAAGTCATTAAATGGTACAAAACCCAAACTAAAAATGTCTTATGTTAGTCTGTGAGCCCTGGGGCTTCAGAGGGCACATGTGGGAGCCTCCCAAGAAGGGAAAAGGGGAAAATTTAGTACAACAAATTGGTGTAGTATGGCTGGTTAGAGGAACCTCAGGAGTCCTGGTAAAATATGGGGATGTGGGCCTGGGACAGCGGCATGGTTCCAGCAGTGTCTGGTGAGCTGACTGAAAGAGAGCCGGGTTCAGATTCCCAAATACAGAAGGATAGAGATGGGCCCAGCAAGGTGTCCTGTGAGGTAATGCAACACATCTGAGAGAAGCTGGCAGGAACCCAGGGGAGAGAGGAACCAAACCCCATAGGCTTATGGGGGATATCTATGCTCACATGCATTATACAATGGATTATGAAATATGTAATTAGAATGATGCAGATCATGCAGATGCTGATGGACTCAAAGGGGAAAAATCCCTAGGCCACAACTGTGCTGTAAGTCTGGGGAAATAGCTCAGTTGTTTAAAAAAAAAAAATGGAGTCAGCCTGCACATGGATCTGAAAACACTTTAAAGGTCATAGAAAACCTAGATACAAGGGAAGAACCCAGAGAGGGGGCATGGCCACTTTGCATAATAAAAGACTTGCCTAAGGCAGAGGAAGCTGAAAAGACTAGGGAGGTACTGGCAGATTCAGTTTGGGCCTCAGATCTTAAGAGAGAAAAAAAGGGACATTTTAACCTGCATAAGGTTAGGGGATGAGGGGTCCAAGGACACAGGAAAAAGACAGATAGTAGTGAAAAGGGAAGTAACCTAAAATAAAAGTAGCTAAAGCTGCCCCTCATATTCAACCTTTGATTCAAAAAGAAGAAAAAGCTAACAGTACTGTAGCTAGGAAATACTCCACACTAGAGCTGTTAAAACTAGGAAATACTTAGAAACAGGGGATCAAAGAGCCCCTCATCACATGGCTCATGAGGGTATGGGACAAGGGAGAAAATAATGTCTAAGTTCTTCTGAAGCATCACAGCTGAGTTATATAACCACCTGTCTGTCCTTGCGACACAGGCTGTTCAACCTAGGCCAACACAAGGGGGAGCAGTCCTTAACGGGATGGCTGGTGCAAGGCATTAAAGACACATGGTTGTTGATAGGTAAAAAGTTGGAGGGAGAGCGAGCAGATGGAGGAGGCGCCGAGGCACAGACAGAACTCTCAGCGGGATACAGCTTTATTTCACATGGGACACGTTTCCCTCAGGGAAGGGAAAGATGTCAGCCCACAGGTTGTGAGCTGGGACTTATATACGGGGCTTTAGGGTGCAGAAGGGGGGAGAGTTTGGGGGAAAAATCAAGCAGGGGGAAGCAGGAAAAGCAGGGCTTGTAAACCTGGCTCCGTTCAGTCTGCCAGGCAGGATCTGGGTCTGGAAGTGTTTACTTTTTCCCTCTTAAGATAAGGGAAAAGCTGTTGTGATAAACAGCTTCTAAAATCTCTGGTTAACAGGCAGAACTCTTCTCAGCAGAGTTTGTTTCCCTTGACTTCAAAGGCCAAGGTGCTTATCAGCTCAGTTCCCTTTTTCAGGCGCCAAAAGTCCGTAGGTCCCTGTTGGGGAGGGGGGAAGCGCTATTTGGAACCCTAATATTCCAGCCTTTTGTGTTATAGGATAGGGGGCGCCGTTGTCATCTTGCTACTTCCTGCTGGACAGGGTCGACGTGGGGGGTAGGCTGGTTTAGGGGTCCACTAGGCAGCAGGGGTTGTCTCTCCATGCATCTGAACAGGGTCCTCAATGGTTGGCAGGCGTTCGTATACATGTGAAGGGAAGGAAAGTAACAACTGATTAAAATTAGTATGCATTAGTTTTCGGATCTGGTCCCGAAAATATCTGACAAGGCAAGGAGCAATGGTTAGCACCAAAGTGAGAGAAAGAAGGGGGCCCATAAGGGCAGAAGCCAAGGAGTTAGTCCCGTAAAAATGTCCCATCGAGATGACTGTTGGTACTGGGAATTTTTAAGTGAAAGATTTTTTGCTACCTGTTTGAGTTGTTTTATATCATGTTCAACCTTACCGGATTGGTTGATAAAATAACAGCATTCTTCACCCAGAAAAATACAGGTTCCCCCTTTTTCTGCAGTTAATAGATCCAGGGCTCGCCTGTTCTGGAGTGCAACTTCAGCTAGGGAGGATAA